CTAATAGAACTCATGGCTTTCTATGAAACCCCTTTAATTGATATTTCTTCCAATACATCAAAGCTTTAATAAATAGGTGGATAGATACATAGAATATCCCCCCCCCCCCCGGGGGGTGTACTCATCGAGTTTCAAAGGCCACAGATTGCTCCCACTCCTGAACTTTTACTTATTTTTAATATATAACTAGACTCAACATTGTAGAAAACTAAATAGATAAACTTGGAATATTGACTCGCTTTATTTTAACAAAAAGGACCCATGAGATAAATATAAATCAATCTCCTATACCATTTTATTAGGTCTAGATGTTCACAAAGCAAAACTTTAAAAAAATTTAAATAAATCAATTTTTCAAATTTAAAAATAAATAAATAAAAATTGCTTGAAATCCTTTTTCAACCCCTACCCCACATTTGTTTATACAATGCCCTCATTGTATGCATAAAACAATTAAACCACATAAAAGAAAATAAAATGGAGAAAAAAGAATAGACTCCCATAAGGTAGTAGTGGCGAGATCGAATTTGATTATGGTGGAAAAGATTGAATATCTCGATAATGTTGTAGAACTAGACTCTTGATGCCTCTCGTGAATACGGCATATAAATAACACCAAAAAATTTTCCTTCGAAAATCTGGTGTAAAAATCTTCAAAATAATGCACTATAGTATGGTCACATCGTGGGATGGAGTATAAAAAATTTGAGATCGCGACAATAAGGAACGACACAACATGGCCTAGTGATGACCACGTCGTGATTACTAGGATAGTTATAAAACAACTTATGCCCAAATGATGTTAGGAAATAAATTTGTGGTTTATACTTTGCTTCTTAAGGCTTATAGAGTTCTCGGTTTAGGACCAAAATCACTATGATCTTGGTGGTACTTGGACCGAAATCACATGGGCTTAATGATGTTTTCGGTTGAGCTTGGTTTTAGTAATTAGGTATTAGTATATAATGTGTTATTTATAGCCGTGAAGAGATTCGGTCAATTAGAGAGTTAGTCATTCGGTTTTATTAGTGAGAATGCGTTTTTGGTGATTACTAGTGATTCATGGGTGAAGTGTGATTGAGTGTACTTGATAGTTATTCAATAGAATTGTGTGCATTCATGTTATTGAAATGTGTTCTTAATATATCTAATTGATAGTTTCATATCATTGTTTGATTAAGATTCCGGATTAAATCAAACGATTGCATTGATACTTTGACAGATCTGAATTTAGTGACTTACAAGTGGTATCAAAGAAGAACCACCATGGCAGCCAGCCATGGTGGCCGCTATTTCTATCACGTCTTTTTCTGCTGCCAGCCACCATAGGGGGTGGTTATGTGCATGTTTTGGTGTGTGTATGAGTGTTTTGATGAGTTTAATCTTGTAAATATTTAGCTGGGATTCTTGGGAAAAGCCACCACCACCACAGTGAGGTGGTGGCTGTCACCATGTACCACCATCGGCCACCACAAGGGTGGCTGTGTGTGTGTGTGTGTTTATCTTAGTGTGTGTGTGTGTGTGTTTGTTTGTGCATGTTTATTTGGGATTTTGTGTTGTATGTTGTAATCGGTGAAAGAATAATCAAAGAAAACTCATAACCACCACCGTTAGGTGGTAGTTGTCGCCTTCCGCCGCCACCGCCCGCCGCGTTAGGTGGCAATGTGCTTTTGCTTGTATTTATCATGCTTTTGGGATGCTTGGAAATAATTAGACTAGAACCATAAACACCACCGTGAGGTGGTGGCCGCCATTGTGAGCCGTCGTTGACCACCACTACCTGAGGTGGTAGTGGGTGGTGCCCGACTTAGGAAACCTAGTTGCCCTAATGAAACCCTAATTGATCAAAAGAATTAGCTTTTGGGCCTAATTGGCGTGCTTTGGGTTGGAAAACCTAATTAGGCTTTAGAAAACCCTAATCTTGAAGATTTTAATTTGGACTTATCGCGACTTGCATTTTGGACTATTGGAGTGAAGTTATGACTCAAGCCCGATTTCATTGTATGTTTGGACTTAATGGATTAAGTGCTTAATGGGTTAAGTAGTAACACTTAACCCTAATCGTCATTTTATGTTAAAAAATCTAACTGGGTTTGGGTTCTTATTGGGCCATTTCTTGGATTGGATTGCTATGGGCCTTCGTGGGCCAAATGGAAACATGTTTATGGACTAAGGAAATTATTAGGCTTTAGGATAAGGCCCATTTGAAAGTCTTGGGCCCAATTTGGAAAATTGGGCCATAGGTGGACCATAATTGGACCTTGATGATTATGAGACATTGGGTTATATATTGGGCTTTGGTTCATAGTTTGACTTTTGGGCCTTTGGATTGGGCCTTGGACTTGAATAAAGCTAAGTTAGGGGTGAAGTAGTCTTTTTACCCCAAGCATGGACTTATGGTTACGTATTGGAACCTAATTATTAATTGGGTGTCGTTTTGATGTTTACTGTTTGGGAACATGTCAACCAATAGCTAGAGTCTTATATGCTACACTTCAGCAGTCTGAGGTCAGTCTCCTCACCATACCAATGGGTCGAAGGCACCAAGGTCATCCTATTATGTATTATGTGATATGCTAGTTGATTTTGTACTATGTGGTATGCTAATTGATTGTGTGGTATGTGATATACTAGTTGTCTTTGTGATACTTGCATGGAAGACCTCGGGGGCTTCCCGGGCACTTAGGTGTACGACGTTGGAGGGTTTCTACGACATCCTAGGTAAAGATCTCGAGTGGTTCCCAAGGCACTTAGGTGTAAGACATTGGAGGTTTTCCACGAAATCCTAGGTAACGACCTCGGGGGGTTCCCGAGGCACTAGAGTTTAAGACCTTGGAGGTTTTCCATGGCATCCTTAGTTAAGAACATGTGAGGTTCCCATGGCATTAGGCTAAGACTATGTGGGGGTTCCCATGGCACCCAGTGTAAGACCTTGGAGGGTTTCCAGGGCATCCTTATATGTTTGCATGTTTAGCTTATATGTATGTATGTATGGTTTGATTGGTAGTTAGTGAAGACCATATGGGAATTCCCATGACAGTGGGCTAAGACCCTGGAGGGTTTCCATGGCACCCAGGGTAAGACCCTAGAGGCTTTCGAGGGCATCCCTATATGTTATATGCATGATTTGTGTAGTGGATACGATTTATGTGATTATGCGCGTTAAGACCATAGAGGGTTTCCACGGCATCCTATGCATGGCTTATATAACTTATGTGATTGATATGATTTATATAGCTGTTATAGCTGATATGGATTATGAGGTTAAGTGGATTGTGTGGGGTATGCTCTAGGGAACTACTAAGCTTTATGCTTACAGTTTTGTTTATGGTTTCAGGTATCATCGGTTTGGAAAGGAAGGGCCCAACTTGATCGCAGGGCACACCTATGTTTTCCGCAATATGTGATTTTGGGATGAACTCTGATAAATGTTTTTAATTAGCAACGTTTTTGGATTGTTTGGATTAAATGATATTTTTGTTTTGACTATAACGAAAATGAAATTTTTACCCTTGATTTTTGGGTCGTTACAATCTTCGAACCCAATTGTTTTTAGGTCTAAAACTTGTTCAATGGAAGCCACAATATGGATGAATGTTCTTGGTAAACTTGTAAGAAAATTCTTAACAAGTTACTTTTGTTGATTGTTTTGTCAAGAGAAATAGATTTCGATTAGATGCCGGATAGTTGACTTGCAAACTCGTCGATTGTACTAGATTCCTTAGTCTTCAAATTATAAAACTCGGTAATAAGAGTTTGTAGACATGCTTCTCTCACCCTATCTGCGCTAAGGAGGTAAGTTTTATGGCATCCCATATTTCTTTTTCCGTGCTTATTGCTCCTACTTGCAAGATAAGGTATTCGGGAATCGCTTGGTAAAGTACTGCCAGAACGATGTTGTTCTTCTTTGGGTCATTCGCTCCTGGATCAATGACATGCCAAACTTGATAAAAGTTTAAGATCAACATCATGAGAATTGCCCACACAATGTAATTTGTTGCAAACAACATCGGAACATGGATTGAAAAGAACGAACTCTCCTTTGTTTCGGACGTACCTGGATCCGACGGTCCAGTCACGATTGACAGATTGCTCTGATACCAATTGAAAGACTATTGATATACAGAAAAATTGAGAAATTGGCCACACATTGTAATTTGTTGCAGACAACATCAGAACATGGAATGAAAATGACGAACCCTCTTTTATTACGGACGTACTTGGATCCGATGATCCAATCATGATTGGCAAATTGATCTGATACCAATTGAAAGAGTATTGATATGCAGAAAAATAAGAACACAAGATTGAAAGGTTTATAACATAAAACTAGATTACAATCTCAATCTCACATTCGTAAATTACACATCTCTAAATTCATTTCGACCTCCTTCTTATTAACCATGTACCCTATTTAACATGTATTTAACAAAATTTATAAATTGATGTCTTCAAGTTTTCCTAACTATATTTAAGGTTCCAAAATTCTTAAATATACGAAATATTCGAAGTTTGATATATGTGAATACAGAAGATTAAAAAAAGAGAATTTACTTTGTTTGAACCAATTCGTTGTATAATAGATTTTCAAAAGGGGGTTGTCTATGGTCAAAATTGAGAAATAAAACCTTAAACATGTAACATTTGGTTGGTATTTCATAATGCACAATGGTCACCATAGGGAGATTTCTTTTAGGAGTGTTTTGAAACGGGAATTATGAAATTCTTTGATGAGAGTAAGATCGATGGTAATTTTGTGATACATGTTCAAATGTTCGATATCTGAACTTATATTACATTTTGTGCTTGTTTTGTTTCAATGTAAATTCGAGCTGAGTTAACTCTTAACCCGATAAAAACTCGACTATCATATTCAACAATGGTCAATTCAATATAGGATGAAGATATCATATATAACTATATATCACTTATCAACAAACTCCAAGATTTATAATTTTTGTAAAGAAACAAGCAACAACTAAAATGTAAAGTTTTACAATTCAATGTTGGAAATTATTGAACTCCTGTTCCAAAGCTTCTTCTAACAAAAACTCAGATTGCTGCATCAAATCAGGACTTAATCTAAACATAAGAACACAAAATTCCATCTGACTAAGCGCACCATCACCATCGAAATCGCCTTCTCTCAACATGCTCAAAAGATCAGCATCTGACAAATCTTGAAGACCTAAAAGGGAAGAATTCTTCTTCAGACTATCGAAAGTGATCACACCCTTTTCACGATCCATCAGCAACTGAAACCCATTGCATAGTTCTTCAATTAAACCATCGCCGCCCAGTTTATCCGCCATTACAGGCAAGAAATCTTGGAATTGAGATTGAGATTGAGATTGGTTGCTGGTTGCCATCGAGATAATGAGAAATTGATTAGCGAATTGGGTTGATTTCAATATTTTGATTTGAGATCGATGAGGAGATTTAGAGAGAGGTGGTTAAATAAATAGGTGAGGAAGGTGGACGATGGGTGTATAGAGGTTCCCGGAAGGGGAAGAAAAGCCATCGGAAGACAGCACGGGTACAGCCAGCGTTGGATTCGCGTATTCATTAGTTTCGACGAAACTCTGTTTCTAATTTTTAATACGTAGAGAATGAAACGATGCCGTTTCATCACAAGGTTTGGGGGGCAGCTGGCTATGTTGGTCCCCTCGTGTTAAGCACACCCAAAATGCAGTATCTTTGAAAATATTATTTAAATGTTTTTCTAGAATATAATATTACATATTTTAATTTTAATTCGACAATTCATAAATTTAATTCTGATTTTGTGCACCATCCTGCCATTTCTCCTTGCCTTTCACCTTCCTCGTATATTTTATTCCAAGTTCCTTTTTATGTCTTTGTTAACCTTCTAAAGCTTTCTTGTATGATTTGAGCAAGATATATATTTGTAATTAGTGGTATTTAGTTTATAGACAAAACTGTAAAAATGGTCTTCGTAGTATGTATTTTTTTGGGTTTTAATCTAAACCATGATTTTTTTGGTTTCGTGGTCTTTTCAGACTAGTTTGTAAATTGAAATGACTAATTACCCTCTTAATATATTTTTTATGTTTTTTTTTTCTATTTAGTTTAATATTTTATTAATAATAAAATGGGGCCCACACCCCATTCTCTCTCTCTCTCTCTCTCTCTCTCTCTCTCTCTCTCTCTCTCTCTCTCTCTCTCTCTCTCTCTCTCTCTCTCTCTCTCTCTCTCTCTCTCTCTCTCTCTCTCTCTCTCTCTCTCTCTCTCTCTGCGGTTGTCTTAATTAGGGGTGAGCATAGTGCGGTTTTAAGGAAAAACCGAACCGCAAACCGTATGGTGCAGTTTTTGCATTCTTAAAACCGTTTGGTGCGGTTTTTCAATGGTTCGGTTTTGCGGTTTTTAAATGCGGTTTCGGTTTTAAACCTGTAGACTATGATGGAGAATGGTCGTTGGGAGTGATGTCGTAACTCGCAAGACAAGATGCTCATAAACTATATCATAATTTCGTGTGTAACAGAAGCCAAAAGGTAGGAGGGAAGGTAACAAAAAAAAAGGTAGGAGGGAAGGTTAAAAAAAAAAAAAAACGGTCAGATTGGAGCTAGTCGGTAGTCGCTGGAGGTAAAGTGAATTCATTTTCAATATGTGGATTGTGGAATATGGATTAAATTATACCCAACGTCAATTTGTAAAACTCAAAGAATGAAAGTCAACATTTAGTTTATATATATATATATATATATATATATATATATATATATATATATATATATATATATATGCGGTTCGGTTTTGGTGGATCGGTTTTTAGATAAAAACCGCACCGCACCGTTGACCTTCGGTTTTTGCATAAATGAAATCCGCACCATTGGTTTTTGCATCGGTTTCGATTTGTCGGTTGCGGTTTATTGCGGTTTCATCGGTTTTTTTTTTATCAGTTCGGTTTTTGCTCACCCCTAATCTTCATCTTCTCCTACGGTTTGCTATTTTTGAAGTAATTGCATTTTTTATCTTTATTTTCAAAGTAAATTTCATTTTTGAAGTAATTGCTATTTTTGAAGGAATTGAAGTATGAATTACACTCGATCACATCGTATGACTTATCTAGTAAAGTGATGGACTTAATGGGTTAAGTAAGAAACACTTATCCTTAATCGTCATTTCATGTGAAAATCCTAATTGTGTTGGGTTTGAGTTGGGCCTTTTTTGTTGGGCCTGGATGTTTGGACTATTGATGGGCCATCCAATAATAAGTATATGGACTAGAATATTTGGATTGGGCATTAGGATAAGGCCCATTGCACAGACTTGGGCCCAATTGGAAAAAATTAGGCCATAGATGGGCCGTAACTAGGCCTTGATGATTATGAGATATTGGACCATTGGATTGTCAAGTGTTTGGACCAGAATAAATGGTTGGGCCTTAAGGTAAGACCATGTAAAGGTTTGGGCCCAATTTGGAAAATTGGGCCATAGTTGGGCCTTAGTTGATTATTTGACTTTTGGGCCTTCAGAGTATGAGTTTGGGCCTTTGGATTAGGCCTTGAGCTTGAATCAAGCTAAGTTGGGGGTAAAGTAGTCTTTTACCCTAAGCATGGACTTATTGATATGTATTGGAACCCAATTATTAATTGGGTGTTATTTTGATGTTGTTAGATTCGAGAATTTGTCATCCAACAACTAGGGTTTTGTCTACGGGACTTCAGCTGTACAAGGTGAGTTTCCTTCAGTAGGAACAGGTCTAAGGCACCAAGGTCGGTCTGTATATGTGATATGTTAGTAGCTGAGTGTATGCAGGGCTCAGATTTCATATCTCGTAGTATTATTTGAGTATAGTTATGTGACTGTATATGTGATATGTTAGTATCTGAGTGTGGGCAGTGCCCGAATTTCATAGTAGCCGAGTGTGGGCGGGGCCCGAATCTCCTAGTATTATTTGGATATGGATATGTGATTACTTGATAGAATTAGATATACTTGTTGTCTGTGTGATACTTGTATGGATGTTAGTAGCGGAGCGTAGGCAGGGCCCGAATCTCCTAGATAGCAGAGTGTGGGCGGGGTCCGAATCTCCTAGACAACAGAGTGTGGGCGGGGCCCAAGTCTCCATGAGAGTGGGCGGGGCATGTATCTCCTAGTTGCATGTTATGTGTATGATATATGGTAGTTTGGGGAAACTCACTAAGCTTTGTGTTTAAATTTTTCGGTTTGGGTTTTAGGTACTTTCGATAGCAAGGGGAAGAGCTCGGGATGATTGAAGTGCACACATCATTTGTTCAGCATGGGATGTATATACTCTGATATATTTGACAAGTGTTATGAGATTTTTGAGATTCACGACTTATGATTTTTATATGATGAATGATACGTATGGTTTTATGAATAACTTAAAACGAAAATTTTAGACTGTATTTTTGGGATGTTACAATAGCAGATGATTATTTTAAGATTTTGTAACGGTCTCACGTAAGCCGATAATCAACTTTTTAGGAGATAATAAAATGACCATCATTTTCATTATAAAATGTTTGGGAAATTCTAATGGTCCCCCACTCTTATACTATGTGTAATAAATAACCAGTTGCATAATTGGCCCTAATGGGAACACCACGCCTCTTGGTGTGCCCCCATTTGATTCTCCACCGAGTCACGATGGTGACCTTGATTTCTTTCTCATTTCCATTCAAACTTTGTGATTGTTGAACCGTCAAATCATTTTTTTAACCTCTTATAAATATCTACTATCATCATACATTTTGCCATACATAATCTAAACATTTGTTGATATAACTTTGGGAATCAAAAGATGGAATGTCTTTGATTATCATCATGATCATCATCGGATAACGATGTAATTGTTTTTCACAACAATCGTAGAAACATCAAGCCTCATTTTAGCTAATGAAGTTTAAAGTTCTTGTCCAAGAACATGAAAAAACACTTAAAAAAATCATCAAGCTGTAATTGATTGGCTAGTACGGAACTACTTTCTCTGAGAACGTCATATATAATGTTGATATGTTTAGATAACGGTTCCAAATAAGAGAGAGAGAGAGAGAGAGAAAGAAAGAGAGAGATGCAATTTTTAGATTAGCACAGGATGCGATAGGTAAAAGAGGTTTTACTCCATTACAAAGCAGCACATCTGTACTTCATCAAATATCATCAAAACATCGTCAACTCATTGCATAAGTATTTAAAGATGTTTGAGAAAAATTCATGTCAAACCTACATGTAAAGACATTAAAAATTATATAACACACATAAATCCATACATAGATTTCATGGTTTACTTAGAAGCATTGATAATATGTGTAAAGAGTGTACAAATTCTCCTAACACATCATAAGGTCAAGTCATGTGACGTGATCACCCACACTCGAAGATAATTCTGAAAATAGTATTGTTATATGATCTATGCATTTGGCATGCACTATTTCATGTTGAAGGTTCCAACAATGTCATCGATATTCTGATCAATCATTGCTATTAAATCTTAAATCGATTAGCACCTGTCACACTTGAGTATTCATTTGAAGTTAATGGGGTACAATATAAGCAAACATATTATCTTTCTAATGGGATACATCATAAATATGTTACATTTGTCAGATCATTTGAATGTCCACCAAATGAAAAATGATGAGTGCTCAATGCATCGTAAGAATCGGAAAGGAAGGATGTGGAATGAACATTTGATGTTCTTAAGTAATGTTGTCACGTAATGAAACACACAACAAGATCATTTGAATGGGGTACAATATAAGCAAACATATTATCTTGCTAATGGGATACATCATAAATATGTTACATTTGTCAGATCATTTGAATGTCCACCAAATGAAAAATGATGAGTGCTCAATGCATCGTAAGAATCGGAAAGGAAGGATGTGGAATGAACATTTGATGTTCTTAAGTAATGTTGTCACGTAATGAAACACACAACAAGATTATGGTCTTCAAAAAATATGTGCATTATATTATATAATATGATTTTAGAAAACAAATGTAATATGATTCACAACTATGATAAAATTAATATTGAGCTTTCCTATGAATAAGAAGATATTGATGTCTAACAATACCAAGCTAATCTTCGAGAAATATGTATCAAAGAAACATATAACAACCTTTGCTAAGTTTTGGTGGAACATACTTACACAATTCAGCTTATTCGTCATTCTTATTCGACAATGACAGAAACTAGATATCCTTATCATTATTATTATTAAAAATTTTAGCTTTATGTTTTTTTAGTTGAGAGCGATGTAATTTTTCATTTTGTTAGTTTAAATTAATAAAATGTTATAATTATTGTCAAAGTTATATTAATTTCAAATTTTCTAATATTTTAAAACTAATAACTATTATTTATACTAAAAAAATA